ACATACTGCATGAGAACGAGGTATTATTCATTTGTCTGTTCCTTGTAAATGTCTACCAAAATTCGAGTTTAACAATAATATTCTGAATACACTCTTTAAACTGAGTACGACGACATATTGCATCCAAGAAAAGTAAGCATTACAATATCTTGTTCTCTAAATAATTTTTTCTGCAAAATATTGTTGTTCGTACGTTATCACTCCTTGTTGTTAATATTAATTTTACAACAATGCCGAGAATTGTATAGTGTTACAATATTCTCTTTAACACCATTCTCAGCTGTGTTTTTAGTAACGATGGCAAAAAGAATATTTTGTTTATCAATCTAACGATGCCAGTAAACACTTTTGAAAGATTATTCAAAATCTAAAGAATTTAAACTGTTAACACCCAAAATAATCAAGATAATATTATTTCGTGGTTCACCATGTATATCAAACAAGATTATAAAATAGAATTTATGATTGAAATTTTCGTTTGTTTTAATGCAAATTTATAGACAAAGTAGGATGGGAAACACACATAGAAAAATTAAGGACGTTAAGCAATAGTGCTAAAATTGCATCAGCACAATGTAAATCGTTCGAAGTCGTGGAACTTCCAGGCGTGGTAGTATACCCAGAAAATAGTGTGACAGATGAAGAAGCTAAATGTATACAAAGCGGAGCATCGAATGAAGCACTAGGTAAAATTCTAGAAATATATCTATTTTAATGTAAGTTTTCTTTACTTTTAAATACAAATTTAAATGATTTAATGAGGGAAGATTGAACACCTTCATCTTAACTTTGTAATGCTAATCCATTTAAGGAGCTATGCTAATTTGATTGATCAAATACTTTGTTAATTTAAGATATTTTTAAATACGAACATTATGACAATTTCTCCAACTGGAATATTAGCTGGTTTACTATCGTATTTACAAATTTACAAATTAGCGTATATCTCCAAACTGAATGGCAATAAATATTTCTTTTAGAAAGTAGACGTAGAAGCCATGATTCCACATCAACGTCTTTAAGCATTCCACAGCAAGAGGAACAACCTGTATCAAATGTAACATTAACAGCTACGAATGATATCAGTCAACTTCAAGATACATCACCTTCTAATAGTAAATCATGCGAAACGCTTGACAATATAGAAGTATCCGACATTAAAGATAGTACGCAACTACCTAGCGTTGATATTGAGAGTTCTAGTATACCCTATGAACAACAACCTTCCTATGACGCAAAGGATAGAAATATATCATCTAAAAGTAATTTGGTGTAAGTATTATACGAATAATATTAGTAAATGTAATTATACGGGGTATCCGCTCGATAGTATACACAATGGACAACCACAACAATATAGGTGAAAAACGTGTACCTCGTGTTCCTTGATTCCGTACACAACATTATTGATATTTTTATTTTGTAGACGTTCAATGGAGGAAGTAATGGAAAAGTTGTCAATTGACAACGTGAAACCGCCGAATGTTTTGCTATTTGGGGATAGTACAATTGCTCTGAACAACGTGAAGAGTGTATTAGAGGAGTCTCTTGGCACAGACAAGTACGTCAATTTTCTCTATTTCAACTGCAACATTATTTCATTTACATTGCAGAAAGTATCCTTAATCTCTTAATCTAAAAATTAACATCAAATAAACATCTACATATTTTAAAATAATAATTTATGTCATTAAGAAATTATAAATTTATACCTCTTTCATTGCATTCACTAAACAGAATAAAATAAAACAACTATTTGAATTCACCATCATCGATTTTCAAATATATTATCTTACTCATAATATCATTCTGCGTGTTTTCTTCTTGTAAACAGATATGCCATTTACACGTTATCGTTACAAGACGCTCGTAACGATTTCTGGATAGAAAATGCAGCTTTAGTAGTTGTTTGTGGTAATGTTGGAAATGAGATTGGAAATCAGATTTTTGAGTATATTCTCCGCGGTGGTAAACTTCTCGCTTTATGTTCCGATGTACTTCACATTTTACTTCCATCGTTCAAAACGGCGGAAGTACGGGAGAATGAACTCGTTCACTTCTCTTACGGTAAATGGAAACATGTGCGGATGATGCATCATATATTCTGCTATCAAGCATCCCCTATAAGAACAAGATTCTCCCAGGATCATGAAGATGTAAAGTAAGATATTAATTTGGTAATTATGTTTTCGTTAAATATAAATGCATTAGGTTTGACATGTAAAGAAAATTTTGAACATAATATCTTGAAAAGAATTGAAATAGTACAATTAATAGAACGTTTAAGAAATAACTCTCTTTAAGTATAAATTAGTATTTATACTGAAGCGTAATAATTTGCCAAATTTACAACGATTCGAGACGTTTCAAAAAAATTTTTTTTTTAGAGTGTCTAGTCTCCCCCCTCCAACTTCGGTAAATGTGAAAGATAAAAGAGGAAATTCGCATTTGTTCGACGTAAAAGTACTAGGAACAGAAGAGACATGGCACACACCGAGTATTTTACTTGCGAGCCTTGTAGGAAATGGTGGAAAAATTGTCTTTTCTCAAATACACCTGGAAGTGGATCCAATGCAGTATGAACTCGAAGAGAGTAAATTTAAAGCTTTGAAGGAAAGCAACGCTGCCAGATTAGAGATACTTAACGATGTGTTACACGTACATCTTGGAATAAAACTTCGTAATACGTCGCATACTCCTGTAACTTACACGTCAGCTTTCTTTTTGGGACGTCACGAGGTAAAAAAGAAAAACTACTCTAATTTTCTTCTCTTTCATCTGAAAGCAATAGGATTTCAAATTTACTTTAAGGATAACTACAATAGAATACCACAAATTGTGGTAAAAAATGATGAAACAAAGAAAAGAGCCCTCATTGATTCCTTTAGCTCCATAACTGACTGAGATATGCAATGTTCAAGATTTAGAGCCAATTTATAGATGCTATTTACTTGTTCACAGTTAAAGCTAGAAATGTTGGAGAGATTAAAAGATGTTATGGAATCGAACGATACTTTAAAGTTAGGAAAGCTAGAAATGCAATTTTGTCGAAGTAGCACGACTGCACGTCCAGCCTCGGCTACGTTTCTTCCGATTATGCTCCACCAATGTCCTGAAAATTTTTCAACGGTTGAATATTTCGAGGTAATATTTATTCCACTTCCTTCAAATGACTATGTTTATCAAGAATCTTAAGAATCATAATTTGAAGTATTAATTTCGATGCTTCCATCATGATATATTTTCATTTTTTTGTTGTAGAACTTAACTTCGAAGGAGTTAGGTCGTTTAGTAATATATGCGGATACGATAACATCATCGATGGACGTTGTAGACAAATATCTATTTCAACACGGTTTGGCTGTTATTACTCGGCAGCAAACTCAAGGACGAGGTAGATATTTTTCTTTCCAAACTAGACTAGTGGTACCACATCAGTAAAATTCATTTGCCATGATATGGAAGTTTTATCATATAAGTTAGGCACAAGATGTATCCTGATGGTATTCAGCTCGATTTTACAAATGGATCTTATACTTTTGCACACCAGTGTATGTTGTATGTTACTTTTCAGGAAGAAGTAAGAACTTATGGCTCAGTCCTAAAGGATGTGCAATGTATACTTTACAAATTCACATACCGACCAACACAATACTTGGAAAATCTATCTCACTTCTGCAACATTTGGTTTCTGTTGCAACTGTATCTGCCATTAAATCTCTACCTGGATATGAGGTTTGTCTTTACTATATTTCATTTCTTGTTTGCTACTATTTGTAGTATTACATTGGTTCTTCGTGACTATATTTTTTCTTAATACTTGAGATTTAAATCTTAATTCTTTATCTGTATCTGTAAAAATATGAATTTGCATAAACATCCGTAGTCGAATCATAATATAGAAAAAGTAAAGTAATTAATGTTTATTTTTACTAATAGGAAATTGATCTGAGATTAAAATGGCCGAACGATATTTATGCTGGTAATAAAGTCAAGCTTGGCGGTATAATTATCACCACCCAAACAGTATCAGGTGTTCATATCTGTAATGCTGGTATGTATTTATGTTTTTTCATATATATAAGTTTGCTATGTTTGTGTACGCACGTAAACACGTAATTTTTATAATCATTGGGACTTTCAGGAGTTGGAGTAAATTTATTCAATGAAAAACCTACGTGTAGCATTAACGATATAATTAAAACATTTAATGAAACTTATCATAAAAAGTTGAAAATTATCTCGTTCGAACAATACTTTGCTATTGTATTTAATGAAATTGAGAGATGGTTAAATATCGTACAAAGTGGACGTAGAGATATCTTCTTGGATGCTTATTATGAATATTGGATACACTAGTAAGTTGTCCTATTTATTCTACTTATTTTCTGCATTTTATTATCATTTTACAAATTATTGGTAATAATTTGTTCATTATTACGTTAAATTCATTGTTTTTATTTTACGTATACATCGCAAAATGTTAAAATCTATTTTGGTTTTCTGCAGTGGCCAGACTGTAAAGGTAACATCACCGCAAGGTGTGACGAAGGAAGCTAAAATTTTAGGTATCGACGATTATGGATATTTGCGCGTTCGCGAAGAGGACGGAAGTATATCAACTGTGCATCCGGACGGTAATACTTTTGATTCTCTCAAAGGTCTCATCACCCCGAAATAATCAAAATCACATGGTATAAAAACGTTGTTGGACATTCTACATTTATTAATTGTGTATTGTTGCGCTCTCTAATTTTTATACTTTATGCATATGCCAAGTGATTGTAAAATCATATTTCATCTTGTCAAGTTTTTACTTTATTTCTGCATTTCATAATTTGTCTTGATAATAAATATAATGTGTCGACTATTTGTTATACTTACTTATTGCTTGTTACATAACCTTTTATGCAGCATTAACTTCGATACTATGCCTGAAGGTAGATATCAAACCTCTCTAATTTCGGTGTGAATTTTGAGTGAAGAAATGAATAATTCCATTTCATGAGAAATAGGCAAGATTTTATTTGAATAAAATCAAAGTATAAGTTCAGGAAATAAACTTATCAAGATATGATCTAAAAGAATGTACGCGAGATGTTTATTGACTGTTGCATTCTGCAAAGAATCCAAAAGGGAATCCATTAGTTCGGTCCATGGCCTATAAAGTCCTATCAGCCAATAAGGCAGCAAATTATATAATCCTTTTTTGGCGCTTTCATAATAATTTCGGCGATATCCTTGGAAAGTTGACGCCTTCATTCGACGTTCCTCGCCTAGAACTTTTGCATGTAAAAGTTTGACTACGGTAGCCGCACGACCGCTACTTAGGACTTTCACTAAAGCGTTGTAAAGAACAATGTTGACGAATGGATCCACTTTTGCGTGGGTTGAGGAAGCAAACATCCAGAACACTCGTGTTACTATTGGAGGTATGTTCAATAGTCTGTCCACTGAAATGGAAGAACATAAAAAAGTGAGAAGAAAATTTGAAGACTTACAATAGATTTCGATTTTTTGAACCTGTTACACTGGAATCCATCATAACTCAAGAGATATGTGTAATTTCAATAAAATAGAAAATTTACCTGCATCTGCAATACAAAAACTGGCACCCTTCACGTGAGAACGATTTAACGATGACGGAGATAATGTCTGGAAATTAGGATCCAAATTAAGATTATCGCCAAATATACCAGACACAAGATCATGGTGTCCTCTTTTCTTTATTTCCATGTCGTTTGTTTCGTTGGATACTTCAATTCCGATATCTGCATAGTCGCTCTTGATGTTAGTAGAGGACAGAAAGATAGTCATAAATTTATCCAGATTTTGACCTTTCTCTTTTCGTAATTTGTAGGCCATATTTTGATATAATATACCAATATCTGGTGTGTAATTTGGAAAGTACGGTTTCAAGTTTGGCATGGTCAAGAAAGTATATAAAAGCTCGCTGCTCCTGAGCACTGGTTTTGAAAGTAATTTCTCTAGAAATTCTTCGTACCGTTGTTTATTAATAACGCAAGAAGTATGTGGATTTTTTCGCGAAGGCAACGGCGAATCGCTCAACTCTTTGTCGCCATGAAATTCAGCTAATCGCGTGCGTAAAGCATAGAAATCTTGATCTCGACGTAAGACAGTCCAAGATTTTTCTTCAGCTGCATTATACACCGCAATCATATAGAGAGGTTGATTATCTCCAGAATCGACATGTGGAATACTGACTCGCCACGTTGTTAAATCTCGGTGAAAGCTGTCATCTGCATATTTGATTTCACTGTACGAACGTAACGAATAATCTATTTCTTCGCCTTGATATATCTCTTCGAATGGCATCCCGTCAATTGTCGATTCGCGTAAAACACCATCAAACTTTGGGAAATGATTACCAAATTTTATAGATACGTTTGTAGTTCCACTAGCTATGCTGTACAAACAAATTATATGCGTTACTACAAATAAGAAATTGTAGAATATTGAATAAATAAACATTACGTTATATTTTTTATTAAGAGGTCACATTAAGTGTTCTTCGTGGATTGGTTTTGTAGAAATAATTGTCTTAATTTTTTGTTAACATTGAGGATAATTTAGATATGTTTTAAAGTACATTTCGTAATTTTTTCACTTTTTACGAGATTACTCACTTTGTACGGAGCGGTTGCTTAATACGAGTCGGTGCTTGTTGTCCGCATAACAAAGCGTATAACTACAATATGAGAGTCTGTTTATAGTTTATAAGTAGACAAGTAAAGTAATATAATAAATACATGCTATTTTCCACATTACTATAAAATCCTCAGTTTAATGATTACACAGTATAATTGATTAAAAAAGTGCATTTTTACTCTTGATCCATTTCTTTAAGTTATAAGAAATAAAATAGTTAATTGTATAGTTTCTTACCGAATAACTGTGATGGAATGGTGGCAGACAAGTAGATTCTAATAATGCGTGAGCTTCTTGATGTGCTTGATAAAACGGTCGTGACGTCCTCAACTCGTCAATCTTCTTCGAACCTCTTTCAAGAACTAAACAAATTATTATTGAATGATGTAAAGTATGTGAAATTTTTTATAATATTAAACACAAACATTTTTGATAATATTTCAATCGAGACTTTTATGCTTACTTTCTCCTATGCCTATCGAAATATCTTCCGGTAAATTTAGATACTCTGGACCATTAGGATCGAGATACGTTGAATACATATTTTGAATATCAGTGTACAAACTACTTTCAGCGTTTTCACTCATGTCTGGATTTAACATACGCTTACTGAGATCGTCTGAAAATTTTCGTCACACGTAAAACCAAAAATAAATGTTGTCATACTAAAGATTCTATTTCTAAACCAAGCAAGTTTTTTTCCCTACAAAAAAAAACCGGAAACATCCAGATTTACGGGTAGCGCGCCAGTTCCAAGGTTAATAATCGAATAAATAAATTATATATTGTTTAGATAATGTTTCCATATCATTATTTACCAATATCCAGGCAAAACTGTAAGAGATTTATAGGCCCAAAATCTTTCACATGTTGTATAAACATGTACAATAATCGAGGATTATTCAAAACTTCGTCCAAAGAAGGCTTCAGTTGATTATTCGTAATGTTTGATGTTAATGGATTTCTCACCCAACATTGCAACATCTGTACATTAGCTGCATCTGCCTGATTAGAAAATGTACCGTCGTGGTGAGTCAATAACATTACTAATGCATTTATATTTTCTGGATCAGCTATTGCATCCAGCGCAGGCAAGAGAATCCAATTTGCCAGAATTTCTCGTAGGAGAACCTAAAAACAAACATTTCATAAAACAATATTAGTTCTAACTGGGCATTCGTTTGGGCACCAACAAAATATTTATTTGAAAGTTATTATTTTGCATTTATCACGCTAAAAATATTTATAAATTTAATAATAATTTACCTTGTTATTAGTAGATACATGTACAGCAGGAAGTAAATGTGGTACAATAGCAGTGACCAATCCTCTCAGATAATTTAGCTCAGCTTCGCGCGAATAAGCTGCTGGATGAATATCGTAGCCAAAGTAATTAATCATATGTTTCCGAAAATCAGATCCATCAGAAGTATTTTGTATCTTTTTATTTAATATTTTCAAATCTTGAGCATTTTGTAATATCAATGGAATTAATCGACAAAGTATGATATTAGCTACATCTGTACGTAACAAACGGTCTGCGATATTTTTTGTTGCTGTTGTTGTAGCTAACCGAAGCTGATACACGAAAGCATAGTTTGTTGAAAAACTGGAATACCACGTGCAAACATATTGTTGTAATAAATCTTCAAAAAACTGTAAGAAAAAATTATAAATTAAAATGTATACAACATTGTACAATCTTTTGTTTCGGTCAATTAGCAAAGAAATACTACATGTAAACTTATCGTGACAAAACATTCATTAAAATTAAAAAACTTAATCTGTAATACAAGATAGAAAATGCAATTACTTGTTCCAAAGCGTGGTCAAAATCCTGTGGTATTTTCACTTTAGTCGAATGTGGACACAACTTATGTCTTCTGCAATTATTGTTGTTGCAAACACTACATGGATCTTTAACTTCAGATTTTTGATTAAATGTACCGCTTATCACATTTAAATTAACCAGTAGCACACTAACATATTGTAATATATAGAGTCCATAGAAAGTAGTTGTGACATATAAACAACAAACAATAAATACCCAGATGATGCTGAAACACATATATACATATATTATAAAATACTAATTTCTTAAATTAGTAATACACAAGTTTATTGGATATATTGGATGATTATATGTAATCCAAAGTGATCACTTACCTTTTAAATAGGATTGACACAATTGCAATCAGTGCAAAAACAATTACCGGAATTATTACATTGCACACATAAAATTCTTGTACTTTATCGGTAGACGAAAGCGCCATGGCTGTATTAAGACTTCATTTTATGATAAGTGTACCAATGCATATTGCAAAACACAACAAAATTGTAATATTTCATAAATAAGCTGGTACTACACAACATTCTATAAACACTTCGATCTTCAACAATACCATGTGACACTGACACTGACAATCACTAATAATACTGATAATACAGGAATCTAAGATGCCCACCTCTACGGAGTTTTTTATCTCGCCGGCAGATGTACAACTTTGACCTTTCATTATGGGTTCAGTGGACACTGTTGTGTTCCGCGACCTATGCTGGGGACAATTTAATTTCTATTATCTTGTTGATTTTTTATCAACAACGCGACGTGTCATCACTCAAAATTAATGTTGCGTGAATATATCCGTGAAAGGTATATTCAAATTTAAATTCGAGCGCGCAACACCATTTTTCAGAAATAAACCTAGGGTCTTGGGGGAAATCCCCTAGAAACTCCCTAGAATCTTTATTAATTGATAGTGTAACTATAATTCAGTAGTTGACTTTCATTTTTTTTCTGAATTAGTGTATATTCATTATAGTGCAGAAAATTAGTTATACAAACTTTTTGTTTATAATTTGCATAACTTTGAGTAATTTATTTGAATGTCGTTTAAACGTTAAGTGTAGTGATATAAACATTGTGTTTAATAAGAAGCAGAATTGACTTATGCTAACCTATGAATTTTGTTTATTCATAGATCGGTTATTAATGCACTTAATTAGTTTTCTTTAGTTAAATTATTTAAATTATTCCTATATTTGAATGCATTTAAACCTAAGTTAACAGCCAGTTTCTAAGGAGAGTTCATTCCGATATGGTTCAACAATATAAATCACCTGTCCGGGTGTATAAACATCCATTTCCACTTGTGATGATGGTGCGTCTACTAATATTATTTTCTTATTTCAATAGCATTTACTATGCGCCTTTCATTTCATTTAATTTTGTTTCAAAGCAAAAAAATTCGATTTTTTGAAACGATCTAAGTACTAAGTCTAATCTTGTGGTGGAATATTCTACATCACTGTTGATTAATTTTAATTTTCTTTATAGGCATACGAGCGTAGATTTCCTACGTGCCCTCAAATTCCTGTTTTTGTTGGCTGCGAGATAGTTTCAGATGAGGAGAGTAAAAACGGTGCTATTAGAATAACAGAAAGACGATGCAAATTAAATGTGGATGCGCCGTATATTTTGAAAAAGGTATATATTCACCAGAATAATCCAAAACTTATTATTAGAAAATTTTCTGTTTGTCCCTAAAAAATTCACAAATATGCACCTTTTTTCAAACAGTCTTAACTTTTAAGTTAAACAGGATTACAGAATTTGTCAATTCTAGCTTTATTACAAATAATTATTTTTCTGTTTATTACAGATAATTGGAGTAGATTTTGTGTACTTTATCCAAAAGAATGTATTAGATAGGAGGAACTGTATTTTAGAAATAGAAGCATACAATGAAAGCTTTGCAGCCAGGGTACAAGTTATTGAAAAGTGCAGATATTTTGTAAGTACCTAGTATTATTCACAGTATATATAGTTTTTATATTTATTAGGTATATGTCTAACCAGTATAATATGCTTTATTAAAACGGGTAGGTTCATCCTGAAAATCAAGACTGGACATGCTTTGAACAAACTGCAAGTTTAGATATTAAAAATTTTTTTGGCTTCGAGAATTCAATGGAAAAATTAGCAATGAAGCAGTATGCTCAAAATATTGCAAAGGTATTATTTATTGCATATTTCTGTTGTAAATTCTATTGTTAACATTAGACACGAATTCTATATTAAATAACGCATTACAGGGGAAAGAAATAATTGAATACTTTATAAACGAACTAAAAGAGGAAGGGATTGTTTATGTGGCTCCTTGGAAAGATTCAAATGGAACTTCTGCAACAAATAAAAGGTAAATTTAAAATCGTGAAAAATAATTACTTAGTGCAAAGAAAGTCCAGAAACATTTGGGACCGTGTATTTTGTGTTTCTTAAATAGCAATGCAGAAACAAGTAAAGAAGAAGAAGAGAGTATCGCGAAACCATCCTTTGCAAGTATATTTACATTATAATTTCTAATAGAAATGTATTGCTTCTTTTATTCAGGAACAGTGTTGCAGAGAATCAATCATCTGACAGTAAGAGCGAAGCTTATGCATGTACAGAAAACAAATTGCAAACTGGAGGTATGATGTTTCTTTTTATATTTATTTATGTTTCACTATTTATAGGGAACATGGGTCAGGGGAATATGAGACAACCATCAGGTCAACAAACGGACACTTTCCAGAGATAGTTTCTCATGGTATGAACATATAAATATGTTTATTAACGATACTTATATGTTATGTTCTAGAAATGCGACTTTCTTCGGATTACATAGAAAGATACTTAGGAAAACTCGACATGATACAAGAGAGCAGACTTGTTCAACTCTGGCAAAGTATAAACGAGTTAAGAGGAAACTCAGTACCTGGTGATACGACGCTTCTACGATTCTTAAGAGCCACGGAATTTTCAGTTGAAAAAGCTAAAGAAATGTTGACGCAATCGTTACATTGGCGTAAGAAATATCAGATCGATAAATTGCTCGAAGAATACAATACTCCTCACGTTGTGAAAAATTATTTCCCTGGCGGGTGGCACCATTTCGATAGAGGTAATGTAATTGTTATTTACCAGAGATATTATGTACAGTGAGTATGTACAGTGATTCGTTAATTTAAGATATTTATAAATACAAAAATTGCGACGCATGCACTAAGAAACGTTTTTTCGAATGCCCTCAAACTAATTAATAAACAATTTAATTTTATGAATATACATTCATAATAACTGTGTATGTATTTCTAGATGGGCGGCCTTTATACATTTTAAGAATGGGTCAAATGGATGTAAAAGGACTATTAAAATCTCTCGGAGAAGATGATTTACTGTTACTAGTAAGTCGAGTTTCTATAATGCACTGATGTATGTATATCTTACAAGAATTATTTTAATTGTTAATGCTGTTACAGGCACTGCATATTTGCGAAGAGGGTCTTCTTCTAATGGAAGAGGCCACTACTACTTCTGGTCACCCAGTTTCACAATGGTCTTTATTAATAGATCTAGAAGGCCTAAATATGCGTCATTTATGGAGACCTGGTATAAAGGTAAGTGTATTTAACACAAATTATAACTTTTATGAAATCAAATGTTATGTTATAACAAACAGTTCATAAAATAGGAGCCCACTTATTATCCATACTACTAAATTCTCATTTTTCAAATTTCTCATTTTTCGAATTACAGCAATATTTTGATTTTTTTCCGTTACAGGCTTTATTACGCATCATTGAAATCGTTGAGATAAATTACCCAGAAACAATGGGACGAGTCCTATTTATGCGAGCACCTAGATGCTTTCCTATTTTGTGGACACTTATTAGCACATTCATAAGTAAGGAGGAAATACTCTTTTCTTAAAAGATTCATATTTGTTATACTTCATTTTTACATTTTATACATAAATGTATTCAAATTCTGTTAATTTATGGTACAGATGAGAATACCAGAAAGAAGTTTATATTTTACTGCGACACTAATTACCTAGAAGAAGGCCCAGGCAGTATTAGCGAATATATTAATCCCGAATTCATTCCAGACTTCTTTGGTGGACCGTCTGAGGTACGTGTAATAACGAGTTATTATTAACATAGAAGTTAATACAGCAGAGCCTCGAATACCTGAATTAATTGGCGGACATGACTGTTCGAACAAAGAAATTTTTTTATAATAAAATATTTTTTTGCAGTTGTTAAACAACTGAAAATTTGTGTAATGAGGATTCGGATAATCGAGATTCTACTGTATTTAATTTTGATTATGATGTTAAGTACTGATGTTAAGAGGAAATCCTCAGTTGGGTAACTAATTAAAAAACCACAGTGCTATCATTAAATTTTGTATTCTATGGGAAATAGTGTCACGTTTAAATTTCTACTAGATTATTAATGTTATTGTTGACTTTAGATAACAAATCGTTAAAAGTGTTAAATTGTATGTTGAAAAATAATATTGTTTAACAAATAGGAGAATGTTTGCGAGTTTTATGGCATGGTACCTCGAAGGTTTTATATTTTCAACGCAACTGATTATGACGTAAGAATTTGTATATTTTCGTTTTATGTATTCCAAGCATAGTATTATTTGGTGTTTTCGTCCTGTCTTATTGTAGTAATTTCTAGTCGAACAAAATATGTGCTTAAGAAATGCACAATAAGTAGCTTTCGCAACTACAAATTGTGTCACGTTAATATGCTTAATAATCATAATATTATCCATAAATCGTGTATAAGTGTTTAATTCACATTCTTTAATTTTGTAGTAGTCACTTTCGCTCTTTACCACAATGCACAGTGGTTCAAATCATCAAAACCATGGCCAAAAATCGAAAAATAAAAATTGTAATTTAGAATATTTGACATTGGAATTTTATAGAGGAGATATTCCTCTATACAAATCTATATTTGTATTGGATTATTAAACAAAATTATTTATACTATCTCATTACTTTCTTTGTTTTAAAAAATTTAACATAAAGTATTCTGTTAATATTAGGTTTACATTCCTGAAGGAGGAATTGTACCAAAGCACCTTTATAAAGTGGATTTAGAAACCACATCAGCTGAAGAAGAACAGTGTTTATATCACTCGATTACCTTAAGTCGAGGACAAATTCATCGAGTAGTAATACATTCCAATGATCCAGGATCAGTTCTAACGTGGGATTTCGACGTCATGCGTCATAATATAATATTTACTGTATTATATAAAACTAACGACGACAGCGAACGAGTCTCTCTAGGTACGTGTTAAAAGCAATATAGAGCAAGAGATACATTTATGGACGAGCAAAAGAAAACTGAACTTATTTTGAGGAACTACCACAATACATATACACTTAGTGTCCAAAAGTCTTAGGCCACTTGTGGTACATAACATATATTACATTTTTACCTCTGGATTTTTGATAATAAAATAATTAATTATTACAGATTTCTCAGAATCGCTTACAGATGAGGATGCAGCAGAAGTATTAGAAACAAAGGAAGTTATGACAAATTTCATGAAAGTTGAATCCACTATTGTTTGTCATGATGG